TAGGCATTTTTCTGCGACATGTCTGTTTAAGTCATTTACTCATTTTTAAAAGGGTGACTGTTCATCTTATCATCGGCTGGGAATAAGTTCTTTATATATTCTGGGTATAAGTCCTTTATCAAGTGGCTATATTACAAATATCTTCTCCCTGCCTGTGGCTTGCCCTTTTATTTTCTTAATGGTGTCTTTTGAAGCACAGATGTTTTAAATTTTAATTAAGTCTAACTTACCGATTTTTTTTTCTTTACACAGCTCACACTTTTTGTGTCTTAAACAAAAAACAACTTTTACAGCATAGGGAATCTAGTCAATGACACTGTAATAGCATTGTCTGGTGACAGATGGCAGCTACACGTGCGGTGAGCACAGCATAACATATAGAAATGTTGAATCACTATGTTATACACCTGAAACTAATGTAATGTTGTGTGTCAACTATACTAAAAAAAAAAATTTAAAAAAACTACTTTGCCTTCCATACGGTCACAAAGACTTTCTTTTATTTTTTTCTTTTAGAAGCTCTGTAGTTTTCTTTTTTATGTTTAGGTTGAAGACCCATTTCTAGCTGTATTTGTGTGATTTGAGTACCCAGTTGTTCCAGCATCCTTCATTTGAAAGACTTTTCTTTCCTGGTTGAATTAGTCTGTCAAAAATGGGCTAAGCACATACAAGCCTCACAATTTTTAAATCGATTAGAATGCCCACTGCTGACCTCTTTTCCTTAGAGAGCTTGTAAGACAGATTCAGCTGAGAGTCAGGGAAAGAAACCCACATGTAAGCTTTGTTTTTGTCCACGATACACGGCATGATGTTTGCTGTACTTCCAGGTTACTTGCTTGATTCCCCCACAAACTCCTAACAATGCACTGTGTTTGGTGTGTTTGTGATCTGGAAGGGAAGATGCTTTCTGGACACCCCCTCGGGTTCTTGCCGTCTGTGCAAGGGTCTGTGGACTTCTACTTCCCTTTGTGTCCTTGCACTGATATCAGTAGCCTTTAGCTTGAGTCTGAGTGATGGAGGTCATATCTGTAAATGTCGTTTTGTTCTAAGAAGCACCTAGCTCCATGCCCTGAGTACATGTGGAATTTAATCAATAGCATTCAGATTACAGCCAATTCATTCCCCTTCAGTTTCCTCATCTGTGTAATGGCATGAAGGCTCTTCTCTAGTTCATTCAGTTCAGTTCAGGACCAGATGGGTGATTCGTGTAAAGAAAGGCCATCGGACCACGGCTGGGGAAGGAGACTTGGCCTTTTCACTAGACTGATTTGGTTCTCTTAGAGACTGTGGGTCTAGAACAGAAGACCACCTGGTCTTTGTCCATGTTGCTCATCTTGCAGATCAACCTTCGTCTGGAGAGTTTTTAGGTCAACCGAAATGAAAGGAACTGCTTTGCGCCCATGGATAGTTTGTGCCTGTGGCCCTGGGCTCTATCTCTAATGTCCCAACTAGTGCTGACGCCCCAGCCCAGGAGAATTCCACACTTGCTCCCTTACTCCCAACATTAATGTCCAGTCCAGGGAAAGCCTTGTGCTAATGGACACAGAGGGCAAGCCTGTGCAGAAAGGGAAGGGAAGAGATGTCACAAAACGGCAACAAGCACCTGAGGTGAGACGAAGGATATGTGAATGTTGTGGTTTGACAGCCTGACGAAGTGGCCCAACGTTGCCATGGTGACGGAGCCTGTTGCCGCTAAGTGTGTGAGCAGCTCCTATGTTTTTTATAGCAGCTGGTCAGTGCTATTGCCTTCTCTGGATTGCTGCCGCCCTGAGTGGTTGCTTGGCCCCAGCTGTCCTGATCTCTGTTGACAAATGGTTGTCCTTCACAGTCAAACTACTAGCAGTACTCTAATTAATGAATGTGCTAATTATCCTTCCCAACTCCCAGCACATTTGTCTAACTAACCTGTCACACTCTGTAAGTGCGGCACAGGCATGATCAGGGAGGTGGGGGAGCAGGGGTCTGGGAGCAGAGCGGTAGGCTCACAGCTAAGAGCTGGGGATGGGGGGGCTAGGGGGGTAGGGAGTGGGGGATAGTTCTTGTTAAACCTCCTTTACCAACAGTGGTGGGGGGGCTGGAGAATCTGTTATTTCCTGTGACATGTTTCTGTTTTCTTTTCCATTCTTTTTAAACATCTCTCTTTAGGGGCTGGGGGCCATGCGGAAGGACCAGGGAGTCCTGAGCTCCGAAAACCATTCCAGAAGCTCTAAGGGCAGCATTCAGAGCGGTTAAGGACCCAGACTTTGAAGCTAGGACAAGGCTGGGTTTGAATCTTGGTTCTGGTCCTTAGTGCATGTGTGTCCTTGGGCTTGTGGTTTAACCCCTCTGCCTCCCAGTTTTATCCTTTGGTCTGTGGGAGGAGTAACCCATCCCCAGAGGCCCCTGTTGAGGAGCAAAGGCGAGGCTGCCCGGGGCCACAGTCCTGTGCCTGGTCCGGCCTGGCTGGGCCCTATCGGGACCGTTGGCAGGGCAGGAGACCATCTTGTTAGGAAGGGGAATGGCAAGCAGGGCCGCTGCGCTCCCCTCCCCCGCTCCCCTGGCGCCCCCTCGTCTTTTTGTTCTGTCTCAGCAGCTCTCTATTGAGATGAATGGCATTTCCAGAGGCTTCACCTCTGATAAGTGTTCCTCTGCGGCGGCAGCCAGAATCTTAATGTGCGCGCTGTAATTTAATGGCCCTCGCAGCTGACTATTAAAATGTTCTTCCCGGGTGAAGTGGACTCGCTCCATCGGCACGTGCTGTCCGACCTGGCGGGGTGACTCCAGGGAGCACGGATGTGGAGGGCCCCCACGGAGGGGGTCGCAGCTACCAAACCTCCTGCCAGGGCCCTCCTGCCTCCTAAAGTGGAAATGGCAGGCCATTACCCACCCCTACCTCCCCACATCCAGCCCGGGCCCACTGCACCTCACCCACACCCCACCCCCCATTTTGTGGGGTCCCTGGAGGTTTGGGAAGCAGGAGAAGAGGCTGCCCCTTCCTGGGTTCCTGCATTCCAGGAACCCAGGCTGGGATGATTTCCCGAAGCCTCGTTGGATTCTGTGGGTGCTGTTTTTTTATGTGTTGCCAGTGACGTTGCCCACCTACATGCCATAAACACACACACGAGCAAGAAGGAGGCTAGGCTGAGCCTTAAAACCATCAGGCTGTGTGATAGAGAAGCTTCTTTAATAACTTAGTGTTTCAGGGCACCTGGGTGGCTCAGTCGTTAAGAGTCTGTCTTCAGCTGGGGTCATGATCCCAGGGTCCTGGGATTGAGCCCCACATTGGGCTCTCTACTCAGCCAGGAGTCTGCTTCTCCCTCTCCCATTCCCCCTGCTTGTGTTCCCTCTCTTGCTCTCTCTCTCTGTCAATTAAATAAATAAATAAATTTCAAAATAAATAAATGAATAAATAAATAACTGGGTGTTTTGATCTGGAATTTTAAGTGGTGGACAGTCATGGCATGATGGGAGATATACCCGGGCATCCCTCCACTCCCTGCCCCCACCCAACGCCCAATCTTTCTTTAGGGAATGATCTCCTTCAACATATGACAATTATGGAAACTACCAGGTTCTTTCATTTTCCTGCCATCTGGTTGTCCTAGGAATGATATGTGACTAGCCAGGGCCGATGAGACCATTCTGAGAATTTAGATGAGAGAAGTCGGTCCTTTACACTGTGGAGACACATGGTGTGCAGAGAGAATAAAGCTGACAAACCAAAAGAAAGCTGAGAGAGAAAGAGATACAGTGAGAGACAGAGAACTCTATCCAGGAGAGAGAGAGAGAAGGCCCGGCCTCCAAGGCCCAGCCACATACATCTCTGCTCTTTTCCACTTCCGGTTGTTCAGTTCCTTGGATTTTTTTGAGCCAATCAATTTCCCTTTTTGCCCAAGCTGGTTTGAGCTGCGTGTCTATTGTTTGCAACTGGAGTACTTTTAAAAGGGACCAGCCTTCACTTCTAATGCATTGTCTTTAGTTATGATGAGTACTGGAAAGGCTGCCTCTTCACCAGGGTCAGACACCTTATCTCCTGGGACTTAAGCAGCCACTGAAACTTACCAGATCTCCCGTACAAATAAGATCTCATCAAGGTCAATATGCAAATCTGGCTGGTGCTGAGCCCCGAACCAAGCTGATCTTGTGACATCGTACTTGGCAGAGTGCCCCCGGCCCTCAGAGAATACTCCTGAGGGTCAAGACCTTGTCTGGCCTGCCCTTGCCATAGCCCTCCACGTGTCCAAGCTCCGGACAGCGCCTCCCTGGACCTCTGTCTCTCTCCGTTGAACAGAGGACGCTCAAGCTGCCAGTTCCCTGCTGCCACCAACTTAGTGGCTCATGCTCTCAGGAAGAAAAGCTCCTCTTAATCACTGCCAACTAGTTGTTGAGTCTGGGCTGAAGATTGCAGGAAATCTTGCATTTTCTGTGTCGCTTCCGAGAAACTGCCATTTACACGGAGAAAGCTATCCTGGAAAATGCCAGGCAACCACCTACCTTACCCAGCAGGCTCACTTTTACCCCTTCTCTCTACTCTTACCATGACATTGAAAAGACTCCAGAAAGGCGTCTCAACCATGACCTCTGGGGAGCCAGCTACGGTGTTTAGTAACACTGCCCGTTTGGAAGTTTACCTTATGGGTCATCTATATCCTCATTTCTGCTCCTTATCTAAATTCTTTGGTTTAGTTTTACTTCTCTTGTTGCATTTTTTTTTTCTGTTGAAATGGAGATGTCAGCTTGTCCCCCTCCCCTTCATTCATTCATTCATTCATCCAGCCCTTATTACGTGGCTGTCACCCTGGACCCTGCTATATGTGAAGTATTCCATTTTTTTCCCCTGGGAATTCAAGAAAAGAAAGGCAGCACTCAAAACCCAGATCTTTTGGGTGCTCTATAAATAAAACCCAAGCTTCATTTTTTCTTCCCTTCCTGCTTCTCTTCCAAGCTTTGCTTCTCTTGGCAGGTCACACGAGCCAGGGTGCTTTGGTGGCTAGTGAAAAAAAAAGAGAGAGAGAGAGAGAGAGAGAGAGAGAGAAAGAAGAAGTCACTGTGTAACTGTGCTGGGACCTTCAGAAATTCTAATGATGAAAGACAGCATGCGGGCCCTCACTTCCCCTTTCTGCACAGTGCAGGCCTGGGCGCCCGCCACCAGACGGGAGCAGTCCTCCCTGGGGAGCCCAAAGCAAACATGGATCAAGAAGCCGTGGGCAACATCGTCCTGCTGGCCATCGTCACCCTCATCAGCGTGGTCCAGAACGGTAAGGGGAGGTCCTCACTCAGAAGGGGGGCCAAGGGCAGATTTTGTTTGCCTGTTGCTATAAAGTCAGGCTCACACGGGTCTCTGTATCTGTGCTCACTTTGGCCCACTTTTGCCTTATTCGTTATTTGTCTCTTGTTCTTTGAATGTTTCGGTGTGTGCATGCCTTTGGGGGTTTTCCTTCTGCTGGTATTCCCTTCACTTTAATGGTGGTGACTAACCGTGTTTGCAGAACCAGGTCAGCAACCTAGAGGTTTTCTCCAAACCCTGATTGAAGTGTCTTGCGAGCAGCATTTTAACCATTAATTACTGTGACTGGAGACAGGGCAGGAGGCAAGAAGCCTAGACGGGGAAAGTAAAGTACATCTTCACTCAGACACTGGGCTTTGGTAAGTGCAGCTGGGCTGACTTCAATGCAGCTGAGATTATCTGTCACCTGTAGGCTTAAAAAGAAAAGAAATGTGAATTTGGAAGGTGGGAGGGAGAAATCACCTTACCATTATTTTATCTATGAGTTGCTCTTTTTTTTCCCCCTTGTAATACTTCCTTTTTTTTCTGGCAATGTAGTTTTGAAGCATTTTTCCTACGCATGATATATTTACATAGAGAGAGGAAGCAGTTTTCTTGTGTGGGGTTTGCATTTCCATTAACCGTGCTGGCACTTGAAAAACCAAGTAAGGGACGCAGACCTGAAAAAGACAAGACCGTGTAGAATTTTCTCTTTAGACTTCTGAGTTAAGACTGCCACAGACCGTTTTGAGAAGTATTTCCAGTGGCTTCATGTTTTGTAGTTTATAAGACAGAGGAAAAAAGAAGAGTGATTACTAAGGGCAGCTGCTGTAACCTAATGGTCATTACTGCATGTCCCCACACTGTCACACTTGGGAAACTTGAGTATTTCACCGATTTGGGATATCCTGTTATTTCCCCGCACCCTCTCCCAGCTCGAATGTGGACAGAGGCTTCGGCTTCGGCTTCTGAGCCCTAGAGTAAGGCCCCCTGAGACCTCCCCACACCTGAGAGACCCAACTTTGCATCCTCCCCGTAGGTTTCCTATATGGAACAACAGTTGGCCACTTTTTGACCCAAACATTTTCGTACTAAATCCACGCCATCAAGTTGCTCGGGGAGCAAAGGGATGGTGTAGGTTGCCGTTCCTCAAGCCATTTCTGTTTCATGCAGGGACCATGAGTGCCCTTGGTCTTGCATATCAGCCAGGGATTCATTTATTCAACCCGCATACGCCTAGCAGGACCCGCTGTGCCAGGCAGTGTCCTGGCTTTATGGGGACAGCGCTGGTGCGGACCCCCAGAAAGGGAAAAGATAGTGAGAACAGATGGCCAGCCATGGTCAACAGGAAGAATTCAAAGACCCTTCTGGTGTCTGTGCAGGCAGTTTTGCATGGGGCGGTGGCGGGGTGGGCAGTGATTTTTCAGCTCTGTGTAGGGTCTCCCCTCTGGCTCTTCCCCTGATAAGCATCACCTTAGCCGACAATGCCAGTGGACTGCGGAGCACTGACCTTCCCACCGCCTGTGTGGATGGGGCTAACCTAGCTGGAGGGTTGGCGCTCACCCTGAGCCGCTCCCTCTCAGTGCAGAGTTGACTTGGGGGAGGCTGCCGAGTGTCCTGTTATGAGTACAGAGTCTCTTCATCTCCCTGGAGATGCAGAACCCACCCTTGGTCTGTGGAGTGGGTCTGGGGCTTTTTCCCCTAGAGGCAGAACAAACCCTGATCGGACTTGGTTTTGGCAGTGAGATTAAGTCTTCTTGGTACAGTACGGAAGGAGAGATTATAGCTGGCTGAATGTCTGAGTCTTAACAACCACAGTCTAAGGGCTTTGACTTTTGACAGGCCATTTCAGATAGATAGTGACAGAACACCAGTGGCCTCGCTAATAGAGGTCCACCAACTGAGGAGTGGGATGGAGGCTTCCTGATGGGGAGATACAAGTATGGGTTTGAGTGGAGCTCCCATTTTTGGACTGGAGACTTTTTCAGGCTGAGCAGACCCTACATGATGGCCACATCCTATCCTCTGCCTTCCCCCACCTGCCCTGAGCCGCTAGGGCAACATGGCTCCAAGGGTGACTTTGTAGAGCTCAGGCACACCCTTGCTTGGGGAAGGGACAACCGGCTGCTCTTTTGAAGCTGCAGAAGCAGCCTAGACACTCTCCCCTCTGAGGCAGAGACCTCTGACTACCATGTGATGCTGAGACCACTGTGTGAGGCCTGCCTTTTATTTGTAACTGTAAAATGTGCCCATGTCGGGGAACAAGGAAAATTCCAATGACTTGGGATAGAACATCTGTACTTGCTTACACCATGAGTTTCCAGGTAAACACAAAGGTTCAAGTGCATGCCCAGAGCCTCTCTTTGCAATTCTAATTAACTGCAATGTTGCAACCATAGGTCTTCCTTACAGAGTTCAGAAAATATGCAAAAACTGCCTCTCTCCTCCTGCCCTGCAAAATGTCATTTTGAGCCCTTCCTGTTAGTTTTAAGGAATATTTACATGTTGTTTCCAGGTGCCACAAGCTTTGTCTTTGTCCCGAGACAAAGAGGTCCTGTCCACCTGTGTCCATGATGATATCCAAGGTCTGTGCTCTCTGTACCCTGTGTGAACCTCATTTCCTAGGAAGAGGCCACACAGCCCAGCCCACCTGGGGGAACTTCCTCCTCTGACTCTTAAACATTCTGTAGTCATCAAGATCTTTGAACCTGGGGTCCTCTTCCAGCTTGATCCAGCAAAACACAGATTTGGAAGCACAGAACGAGTTGAAAATACATCGTTCTGAGAGAGCTGGGCCAGAACCACCAAAGCCTGGTTTCCCAGGGAGTAAAGATAGAGGCGTTTCCTATGAATAGCATCCAGAGAGCCTCCAGCTTCTCCTGCCAAGGTGCCAGCAGCGCTGACATGCAGCAAACCTGAAAAAACACAGTTTTGGGGAAAGTGATTTCCATAGGAAGCCAAGCTAATGAGATTGAGAGGAGAGGGTGAGCTGGGGGGAAGGGCACTGAGCCTGGTGCATGGAAGTCTGAACGGCAATAGCAGAGAAAAGATGTCCTCCAGCAGGAGAGCTATTCCCACAGCCCTTCTAGTTTTAGGGAAAGGTGGTGGGAACTGGCATCATCCTCTCTCCTTCACTCTCTTCTTACCATGAAGCCAAGAAGTGGGGGAGACATGATGGCCCCACAGACACAAGGGTTTGTGAGAATAGTGATAAGGAAGCATATAGAGCTGGTACTGAGCGCCTACCTTCCCACACCATCCCTGGTACTCCTATCCTAACACCAACACTCCTAACTAATCTCATGGGCACCATATTGGAAGACCTCACAACCCAACCTAGGGTTGAATGGGCTGTAGAAACAGGACTCATGAAGTGCCCCAAAGCAGAAATCTTATTCATGCCATTTTCAACAGCTCCTACCTGAACTCTCCCGTGCTAGAGAGCTCACGACCTACCTAGCTTGCTTTCCCCTCCTGTGCTAGAGAGTTCACAACCTACCTAGCTTGCTTTCTCCTCGTTGGGTGTCTTGAGGTATTATTGCCAACACAGAGCTTTGTGTTGGCAATAATGCCTCACTGAATCCTTGAAGCCTGTGGAATATACACTATTATTATTCCTATTGTACAGAGAAGCCATGTGGGGCTCGGAGAGGCTAGACCATTGGTTGAAAATCCTAGAGCCAGTTGTGGTGAGACTGGGATTCAAACCCTTTCCAAAAAGTAGACGTTTCCGCTATGTATATTGCCTCAGATACATTTATTCAAATGCACACCCCTCGAGAAGTCCTACTGCCCTATAACTTCCATCCACTGGTCCTGTTTCTATTCTCTGGAAAAGCTTGGACTATGCTTGCTGCCTCTAGATTTACGGAGTCAGCTGTACCATCCTGCCTTCAGTGTACCACTTCTCAGCTGACTTGTTTTCCGGGGTCCCTTGTCGTTGGGTTGCCCCCTCCCTCCCATCTTGCCCTGTGCTCTCTAAGATGCAGATGATAGATGCTTGATGTCCAGGGAAACAGTTCCTGGGATCCAGACAGCAATTCTGTGAAAATAATCATGGGCGTGTTATGCTTTTAACACTTGTATCTGTCTGCTGGTGCCTATTAACTTTGTGCTTAGCTGAATTCTCCAGATCTTTTTATGTGATCCTGAGAAAGTTAGTTGGCTTCTCTGGCTCTCAGTTTCCTCAACAGAGAATTGGAGCTATGATAACTTCCATATGTGCTGGTCGGAGGCACTGCGTAGAACACCCGAACCAGCGGGGGCCCAGTGTGTGTGGTAGGTGCTCAGAGATGGCCTGCAGCCTTTTCTCTCCATGTCTCTGGCTCTCTGTCTCTCTCTCTCTGGTTTGGCCTACCGTCCACAACTGGCCAAGATAAGCTTGCTCATGGTCTCTGCACGAGAAGTTTCTGTGACACCATGGAGGATAATGTGGGAGATGGGGGGTGTGAGTGGGCGGTGAGGAGTGGGCAAAGGAAGCCAAATTCTTTCAAGTTTAGCTAAGCAGGAGGGAGAGGTAGAGCCTAGTGGAATGAGGCAGGCTGGCTTTAGTTTCATTTGATGGGTGGGAAAGATCAGAGTCTGTTTCCAGGGTCAAGAGATGGAGGAAGAAAGAGAGGGAAGGTTCAGGAAATGGGGAGAACACGGATGAAACAGAGGGCTGAAGGGGTGGCCGGAATGGGCTCAAGGTCACAGGTAGAGGGCAAGCCCTGGCAAAGAAGGGGTTAGTTCCTCTGAGCGAGGGGAGAAAGAAGAAAGGCAGATGCTCAGTACAGCCACGTGGTATGGCTGGTGGCGGAAATGACCTCTGATTTTCTTAATATCTGTGTCATGTTCAGAGGCAAGGGCCATCCCACTGGGTTCTGGAAAGGCAATGGTAAGAATTTTCTACCGTATTCTGTGGTCTGAAGAGACATTCAGAACAGACAGATGTGTACTTATGCCCCGTGTGGCTGATGGAAACCCCGTGGTGAGCTTCAGTGTGACAGCAATGGGGAAAACACCACCCCCAGAAGCTCCCCCAGCCCCCGGACTTGAATCCCCAGCTGCACTGCTCCCCAGTGGAGTGACTCCGAGAGAGTTATCAGCCCTCCCTGAGTCATTGCGTCCTTGTCTATAAGGTGGGGATAGCACTGCCGACTTTGCATCCGTGGGCGCAATGCCTAGTAAGGGAGCAGAGGTCAGACGTCTGCTGGAGAGCCTAGAGTTGGCCGCTGTCCCCTTCAGACCAGTGGCCCATAGCTCTGTTCCAGACAGGCATGTTGCTACGGTGGGGCTGTACTTTTGCCCCAAAGAAAACCAGGGCAAGCTTTTATTCATAGACACACTTGATAAGGCATCCGTTTGACATCTTTTTGAGGAAACTGATAGGAAGATGATGAAAAGGAACCCCGTAAGATCCCTGATATTCTCAAAATTGGAGTAAAGGAATATCACAGGGCAGGGGGGAGGGGAGGAGATAGAGACCTTCATTCCCACCCCACGCCCCAATCTATAGACAAACCCTTGGGATTCTGGCCCCTCGGCACCCCTCACAGCCCATAGCCATCCTAGTCAGCTCCCTCTTATTTTCCCCCTGTCGTAGACCCTGACCTGGCAAAAGACAGAAAGCTCTCTGCTTAACACCATTCCTCAGCTTACACCTGCCAGAAACCCCTTGTTGCTCGTGAAATGGGAATAAGTTCTAATTTTCTTAACATGGCTCTCATCAAGGTCACAGTCATGCTGCTAAATCCGGAAGGCACTTCTCAATGATCCTCTTCTTCGGGGCTGGGCTCACTGCTTCCTCACTCCACCCACCCTGGAAGCATGTCACAGGGATCCTTACCAGCTCCGCCTGCTCTTCTGTCCATGGCTTGGCACACTGTGCAATTTTAATATAAGTGTTTTGTTCACTGTCTTATGGTCTGTCTCCTCTCCCACCCTTGCTGGTACATAAGCTCCTCAGGCCAAGGTTCTTGGTGCGTTTTGTTCTCTGATGCAAGCTAAGGGTCTGGCATATGGCAAGTCACAAAGAAAAATGTCTTTGAAAGAACAATTCACCATCTACCTCTTTGGCCTCATTTGTAATTCTGCCAGTTTCCACTCCCTGCTCTCGATTTCCCCCATTGTAAGCCAGACAGCAAACTAAAGACAGTTCTTGCCTCTGTGCTTTTGCACATTCCATCGCACTCAAGTGGGGTGATCTCCTCTGTTGCTTCCTCCACCTCATTGGCTAATTCCTACTTGTTTGTAGATCTTACCCTAGAGGTCGCCTGTAGGGATTCCTCTGTGAACCCAACACTGAATTAAGTTGCTTCTTGGACCCTCGATGGCTTCATGTTCTCAGTCAGTTCTGTCTTCACGTGAATCACTAGAGTACAATTTCTGCTCTGTGTGTTTATTTCCTTCAACTGAAAAGTCCTTGAAAGTGGGGGGCTGTGTCTTGGATAGCTTCACCATCACCAAATGCAGTGATTTGTAGAGATAGCTGCAGAATGAATTTTTGGTAAGTGACATTTGATGGAAGACATTTAGGGCGGTTTGGAGGGCACACAGAGGGAACATTAAATGTTCTAGCAAAATAATGGGATGCCAGGCTCATGAACGTGCGTGTTATAAACCAGATCCAAACCTTTCCCTCTGCCAGGGTTCTTTGCCCACAAGGTGGAGCATGAAAGCAAGACACACAATGGGCGGAGCTTCCAGAGGACGGGAACACTTGCCTTTGAGCGGGTCTACACTGCCAAGTGAGTCCAAACCCTGATACTGCAAACCAGCAGAGTGGGGCCCTGGGCATAGGGGGCTCCTTGCCAGAGTGAAGACCACTCTCGAGGCTACCTGAATGTCTGGGCCAACCTTCAGAGTGCCACGGGAGGCAGAGTCCCCAGGAAGGTTGAAGTTCAGCTGGGGGTGGGAGTGGGGATGGCTTTGTGGGACCCTTTGTCATCTTCATAAGTGCTAGTGTTTAAAGAAAGAATTGGGCGTACCAGGGGTGCGAGTGGGGAGTCGTGCGATCGCCACGGCTTTCCCTGGTTCCAGAAACTCTGAGCCAGTGTGGTCAGAGTGTTACCAATTTCCGGGGGAATTAGTCCACAGGTACTACCATGAAAACCAACCATTACTCATTGGCTGGCTCTGCCCCTTGTGTCCTACTCAGTGGACATATGTGGAGGTGTGGCAGGACCTTTCATAAGGCCTGGTTTCCTTGAGCAACCAGAACGAGGACAGTGAGAAGGGGGGAACTGTGCAATTGGTTCCCCTTCCCCTTCTCATTCTTTACTTTTGAATAAAAAAGCTGCTTGAAGACACCTGAACGGCTCAGTGAAGGAGACGGGAATTATTTGGGATGCAAATCTGGATGGCTGTTATTCCAGCGCTCATTTTTTCCTTTATGCAGAATGTATCTGAACAGTAGTTTCAGGCAGTGGCCTGTCTGCCTCTCTGTGCCTGTGAAGAGGGGCTGGTCAGAGGGGAAGTCTTCAGCTCTGAGCTGGCTAAGCAGCTGGCCTTCAGTCGTAACTCAGAAGTGACTCTGAGGGCCCCCAGAGAGCTTTCCAGAAGGGCAGTTGTGGACACCTAAGGAAATCACCGCAGGCTGATGTCCTGGTCCCCTCCCCCTGTCTGGGCCCTTTGTCTTTTGGGCTTGGGCCTTCAGGTTGCTCCTGAGTGTCCGCAGGCCCTCCAAGACTTGCCCCTCTCTTGGGTCCTCGCCACCTAAGCAGTCCTTGCCAGGGTCACTCCGGCAGTCGGATCTCGAGGAAATCCTTTGCTGAACTACCTCCAGGGATGTCTTTTTTTTTTTTTTTTTTTTTTTTTAAAACATTTGAGCCTTCAGCGTATGAAGTTAGGTTTCCATTTTGCCAGCAATGAAGAAATGGAGCAGGCCAGGCGGTTCAGTGTCTGCCCTTTCCCCTAAGGGTGGGCTAGCTCTGTGCTCACATCAGTCCCCCGGGGCCAGCCCCCAGATTGCAGAAGTGCCCTTTGGTGGTGGCTGCCCTGCATCATTTGGAAGGGTGGTTTGGAAGTTCTGCAATGGTGTGGGGTTCCTGACAGAAGAAGTGGCCAGAGGAGAGGGGTGGGGCATTTTTGCTGCCCAGGGGTCCCCATGGTATGGATGCCACAGCCCAGCTCCCCCGATCCATGCATCTTTACCACTTCATCTCCACAACAGAGGAGTGAGAAGAACGAGGAAAAGAAGGAGCTGTGGAGAGGTAGGAGCTCAGGTGGAGAAAAAGAATTTTCTGTAAGATGAAGCTGGCCCAGACAGCGCTGTGGTTCTGTTACCAAGACCACTTCCTCCCCGACCCAGCCAGCAGCAAGCACTAGGTGTGCCTGTAGTGGTTATATAAGGGCGGAAAGACTGGGGATGCCCACTACTTGCTGTGTGCCGGCAAAAGCCAGGGACTCCTGGTCTGCTTGCTCTTGCCAGGAAGCTACAGGCACGGGGTTATGGGTTGGCCCAGCAGAATTTCTTCTCCAGCGGTAGCTTGTCTAGAGACCTCCAAAAGCACCAAAGAGGGTGCTTGTTGAACCAGGGATTTGCATAAAGAAAAGAACATGTACTTAATCCCGCTATCTAAAAACTAAGAAATTAAGCTTTACTCATGTTTAACACACAGTTTGAAAGTGGACTGTGTGTGCATTATACCTGTCACAAGGTTGTGTGATCAAATCTTCTGGTTGATGGGGTGTGAGATCATAAATGTTTCCAGACCATGGCTATTGAGAAAAACTAGCATAACAGGATAAATGGTGCTGGTGGACTGAAAAGCCCGATGCGTATTTTTCAGCCTAAAATATGACTGCTGACGGATACAGATGGATTTGGGGGGCAGCTGGTAAACAGATATTGTAGTGAGGTGTGGCCCATCAGCTCCAGTTTGGCCTTGGTTAATGGTCTGTCTCATCACCCATCACCCACCAGGGCAGAACGGAGTCAGGGTTTGAGAGACAAAAAGAATCTTAACCTTGACTCTCTGTTCAGGTGTATAAAACACAGTTCAAAGCTCTGTTCCCCGAGGAGGGAGCACAGCTAGAGCAAAGTTTGATTTTCTGGAGGAAAAGCTCAGTTAACAGGTCCACGATTCTTCCCTACGAGGCCAGGCAAGCACAGGCTGTGGAGAGGAGAGGGGTCTCTGGAGAAGTGTAATTTTCTGACATGTTTTCCGTAGATTACCAGTTCATGGGCTGGTATCACCTGTTACAGACAAGAGAAAGTTCTGGACAGCAAGACTTCTGAGAACTTTTAATGTATTGAGGAACATTGCGATTCTTGGTTCTCTAAGAAAGGGAAGTCTTTTTTTAAAACTACAGATACACACCTTTTTTTTTTTTTTTTTGCAAAGCACTTTTTATCAAGGGTTTAGTGTTTCACAAAATACATTTTCGGTAATGCCACCTTAATGTTCTTTCTCCTCTGCACCACTCAAAATCCCCCTCAGCCTCCCTTCTAAGTGGGGTGGGCTTGGAAATAATTTGAAGGTGATAGACCTGCCTTGATTATATTAATTAGTAGTGACACAATTTACGATTATTAGTGATGTTTACTTAAGTTAATCCAAACTAACAACACACCATGTAAGTATGTCAGTATCCGATTCCCAAAGGTGGAGAAAAACAAAAGGGAAAATACGTGTCCTTTTCTCCATGAAAACAGTGATGGTGTAATGCATCAAACTGAACGCAGCACAGGGAATTGCTGACAAACCTAGCAAGCACCTCAGAATTAGACCTCAAGAAATGAGAGCCAAGATGGGTTTGCCAACTTTGTCTTACAGAAAAAATGGCACAGAACTCTCCACAAAAGAAAATTTAGAATAATGATAATTTGTCAGCAGGAAAGACATTTCTACCAGGGACTATAAGAAGGAAGACATTGGAGCAGTCAATAGCTACCAATTATTGAAAGCTCATTATGAGTCAGATACTGCTTCATCTCATTTTATTTTCACAAGCCAGGGCGGTAATTGCTAATGTCTCCCCTCACCTCTCCTAGATGAGGAAAACCAAGGCTCAGTGAGGCTAGGAAACGTACCCACATTCACTCAGCAGTTGATTAGAGAGCGGACCGAGGTTTCATGACTTTAAAGACCATGTGAGCATCCGCTAGGCTCCATCTCCAGGGACAGCCTCGTCACTGACCAAAGCTACTTGAATTCAGCCCAGCGGTGGCCCTCTGTCAGGGATGGGCACCTTGCGTGGAGTTGTGGGTAGAAGATGTGTCAGAGATCCTGGAGCAGATAAGGACTGGTTTGAGTCAGAGTGAGGAACAGGACTCTGGGTATATTCTGGAAATCCAAAGGAGGAACCCATTCTCTTAAAGTTGGGGGAGATTCATTTAACTCCAGACAGACCACTGTTCCTGGAGACCAAGGTGACTTGAGACAATAGGAAGAATGATTGAATGACTAAGTCAATGTCACAATACTATACCATTCTAATGAGCAAATTCCTTAGATAATTAAGAATTTTTTAAATAAATTTTGTATCACCCAGATGAAGCCAGTACTTAAAAACAAACAAAATAGAAGCATGAGAATGAGGAGGCAGGAGAGAGCTTGGTATTAATAAATTTTCAAAGGATGTCTTCCTACTTTTTCTTGAACTGGGAAATGGATCACATTCGGAATTCCAAGGCTGTGGCTTTGTGCCTCTGATATGTAGTAATAGATACGACACTTGTGCTCCATGCTGTATATGGGACCTGTTTATTCACTAAGTACTTCATCCCAAATAATAAATTTGTTCTGCCGCCTGAACTTCAGAGTTCCTACTGTGTCCACTAGACACAGTGAACCCCAGGCACCTGGCAAGGCCAGCAGAGCTCTGCTCTCTCCCCTGTGCCTAGAGCCCAGGATAGGATACACTGCTTTCTTACCTTTAATTTCATTGACTTCTCAACTAGAGGATCTTCTGATCATCAGAAGGACATAAAGACTCCTATATCCAGGGACACAGCCCATCCTCTCTGGGTTGTCTGCAGGGGATGGACCAAGGGCTGTTCATTCCAGAGTTCTCGTTGGTAGTAGTGAGGCATGAGATGCTATCAGTCTGAACAAGAATTCACAGCTGATTTAGGAGGAAAAGCATGAGAACGAGATCAAGGAGGATCCTGATGAAGGACTCTAAGGAAAGAATTCAGATAAAAGGCTGAATATATTTTGCAAATGGCATCTCTGCTTTTACCCATACGGTTTGAATTAAATTAGACCAGTGGTCTTCAAACTTGAGCATGCTTCAGAGTCTCCTGAGGGCCTTGTTAAAATGCAGATTGCTGTCCCCCCCGCCCCCCCACCTTGGGAGGTTTTAATTCTGTGGGTCCAAGACGGACATTGACATTTGCATTTCTAGCAAGTTCCCAGGTGCTTCTGACCCTGCTGAGCCCGGCACCACCCCTCGGGCACCCTCATTAGAGCACCAACTCTTAAAGCTTATGTGGATCTTAGAGCTACTATCAGTCTCTTAGTTTTTTCCGGTAAGGAAACAAAGTCCAAAGTCATTGCTTTGCAATTGACAAACAGCTAGTGGATGTCAGGGCAGCGACCAAACACTAGTCATGTGCCCTTTCCACCCCGTTGCTCTGCCCTCCCATCCTTTCATGCTTCCACGTCTTTGAAGGTTGTTCTTCCATGGATGTGTGTATTGGTGGTCCTGATCTAGACGAACAGACCTGGTTTTAGAGCTGGACTGAGCAGGATGTGAATCTTGACTCTGCCACCCTGTTGGTCGGTGATGCTGAGCAGGTTACTCAGCTTCTCCAAATCTTGGTTTCTCATGTGAAAATGAGAGTCGCTGTGGTAGGCTGAATAAAAGGCCCCCCAAAACATTCACATCCCGACCCCGGGAGCCCACGAATAGGTTCTGTTACATGGCAAGAAGGAATTAAGTTCACTAACCAGCTGACCTTGAAATCAAGAGAGTATTCTGGATTATCTGGGAAGACCCCAATGTAATACAAAGGTTCTTTTAAATATGGAAGAAGGAGGCAGAAAAGTCGGTGTCAGGAAGACGCGAACGGCCATCACTGTCTTTGGGGTTGGCAGGGGGTCACAATGCAGGTGATCTCCGGAAGCTGAGGAAGGCAAGGAAACGGATTCTTGGCTGGAATCCCTGGCAGGATTGCCGCTGTGCAGATACACCTTGATTGCAGCCTGGTGAGACCCACTTTGGACTTCTGACCTCTTCACGATTTGTCTTGTTTGAAGCCACTGAGTTGGTTCCAGCAGCCATAGAAAACGCCAGCAGTCACTCCTGTGCCCTCCAGGGACCGCAGTGAGTTTGTGGGAGATGGACCTGTAAGACAACAGCATGGTGGCTGGAGTGAGATGACAACCCCTCCACAGGAGCCAGGACTGAGCCCCGCATGCTGCGATCGCACTGCCAGCCAGAGACCTTCCTGGGCACCAGCTTTTCTGAGTCGACCCTGGTTTCTCTAATGCTTGTAGCTTACCTCTCGCTTCCCCAGCCCAGCCTGTGGGTCTGCGCTGACTTGTGCGGCTGACAAAGGTTTCCTGAGTTGAAGTCCTCTCCCCTGCACCCTCCCCCTAATTCTGACAGCCGCCACAGCCCTGCTGTCTGTGTTGCTCACTTTTCAATTCCAAGAAGCACTTTGGCACAGCCCGGAGCAGGAACCCTGCCAAAATGAATCCATCAAGAAACCAAGTCTCCCGTTGGCTTCGCGGAGAAAGGGAATGAACGGATTCCAAGCATGTGTTTGCTTCGTCCCGCTGCCCATTTCTGATGGGGCAGCCGTGTCTTACGGGTAGATGTAAGTGCGATTATGAATGGGGTTTGTGCCTCATATGTGATGGTGATTGTCAATCTGGGGTTTCAGGTGATTTTCCAAGTACCCTGTAATAACATGTTTTCCGATTTTTCTCCTCCTTGTTTTTCTTTTTATTCTACAGCCAAAACTGTGTCGATGCGTACCCCACTTTCCTTGTCGTGCTCTGGACTGCGGGGCTCCTGTGCAGCCAAGGTAACTGGGGCTTCTCTGTGATGTTCCCTTTCTGAAACGTGCATCTTGAGGGGGTTCAAGTGCAGGTGTTTTGTTGAAAAGACTTTGCCTGACCTCCAGCTCCGCCTTGTGAAGCCCAGTGAGGGGAGAACCCCCGGGGCGTGGTGTTTCTGGCACACTGTGTGCCCGGCAGGGGTGGGTGCGATTATGCATGGCTAATGCCTGCTCCCCAGTGGCTGGGTGAGAGCGGCTGTGCCGACAAGGGTGGTTTAAGGCTAAATGTGACTCAGAATCCTTAAGCAGCGTTCACTCAGATACAAGGGCATTATAAATGAGAGCGCCTGAGGGATCTATTCTGGGACCGCTGTCACTCGGCGTGTCTGCTAATATGCTTCCAGCGTGGCGGTCCTCTACCGGGCATGTGTCTGCAGAGCTGCGGGCTGGATTCCAGGTCTGCAGCCTTCTCCCGGGTTATCAGCAGCCCACAGTCCCGACTCCAGCAGGTTGACTCCCAGAGTTGATTTAAAATGAAATGGAAACCAGAGTCGGGTTTTGGTTTCCTTTGGAGCTTGGCATCGTGCCTGACAGAGGCTTGGTGTGACCTGGCTAGCTTCCACACCGTGGCCCCGCGGGGTGTGCACCTAAGTAAAGGCCACTGGTGTCCTCTGAGGGACTAGGGGATCCTTATCATCCTCGCCCACTTTATAGAGGAGGTGGAGAGGATATTATCTCCCTCTAGTGTCTGTGAGGACACTTTGGTTCGGGGAGATAAGGTAACTTGTTCAAGGTCACTCAGTGAGTGAACGTGGAGCTAGGATGAGAGCCCAGGGCTGTGGGGCTAACTCCTGGACTTCTCATAAGAATCCTTCTGCATTATTCACGTTATCTACTGCATATACATTGAACACCTTCTACATGGCAAGCCTTGGGCTTGGACACACAGTGATAAATAAAGAGATGGCCATGCAGCACGTGACACTTGGTGAGAGGAACCACAGGGAAGACATGGATGGATAAATTATTGCCAGGAGTGAGAAGGGCCAGGAAGGAAAAGGGTCAGGTGCAGCGACAGGGAACGGAGGTGAGGGATGGCCGCAGAAACTCCTTCAGGGACACCATGTGGCCTCCTTCTGTGCTCCATAAGGCTGTCATTACTCACTATTTATTTACCACTATCTATCCTGAGTGAAAGAAGAAACACGTCTTGACTTGAAAAATCAAGTCAAACTATGCCTATACGAGGAGTTACGATTCCTTTTATGTCTTAGATGACACTTGATAGAGATGAATCTCGAGATGTTCTAGCTCGATTAATACACAGGGGGTGGGAAGGTGTTTTGGAGCCCTGAAACCACGCATTTCAGCCAAAGCAAATGTTGGCATTGCTAGGTGATGAAAGCGTCAGTAAACCCTTTTCAATCATCATCATTCCTTATGACTGTAGTAAATTCCTGAATTTTTTTAGTCAAAAGGAACCTCAGCGATCCTTCCAGCCCAGATCCTTCACTTTACAGAGCTGGAGCCCAAGCCCCAGAATGACAAGTTGCTTGCTCAAACTCAGATTTTTCAAGTCCAGATTCGAACCCACCGTGCCTTCCTGCTGTTCCGCGCAGCCTGGGTCCGCAAGGCACACTGTGTCCTCTGCAAGAGGGCAGTGAGCGCAGCCATTTTCCATCCCTGACTCCTGTCAGCGCTTGTTCGGTTTCGCTGCTCATTGAGAGAGAGACGGGCTAGTAAGTTAGAGTGGAGCCGTCCAGATGGGCCAAACCAAGAAAGACTTCATCCGGGGCAGCTTGTGAATTATGGCAGTTTTGTGACCTTCAGATAATAGCAGAACCTCATAAGCGGTTCCTTTTGTGCTTTACCTGGCACACGACACTAGTATTTGGGGAGGCAAGGTGGAGTTGGGGCAAGAACACGGATCTGAGAAGGACAGGCCGGAGATCGTTCTGAGGACAATTGTTGCCGGTGCTGTGACTCCTGGCTGTTACTCAGCTTTCCTTGGCCTCAGTTTCCCCATTTGTAAAGCAGGAGTAATTGAGTTCCCCGGATGATTAAGTGAGACTGTGTGCATAAAGCCTCTGACAGGCTGCATGGCAGAGATCAGACCGAACCATACACACCTGCCAATGCCTGACTGTTTAGGATCCTCAAACATGGCAATTTCCTACAGTCCGGCCTAATAGTAGGAGCCCAGTAGATGTTACTATTGATGGTGCCATGCTGGTGGTGGTAATAGAGCTTTGAAATTATACAAACACAGTTAAAATCCCACCTTGTTAAAAAAATAAAATTCAACCAAGTGAATTTTGAAGATCTAATTAGCTTTATCAAAGGACTCATGAATCTGGCAGTATCCCATCTAGCAAAGAGAGGGGAGCTCCCAGGGGTTGTAAAAGTGGAAGGCTTTTTCTGCCTTCGGCTCAGGTCATGGTCCCAGGGTCCTGGGATCAAGCCCCACGTCGGGCTCTCTGCTCTGCAGGGAGCCTGCTTCCACCTCTCTCTCTGTCTGCCTCTCTGCCTACTTGTGATCTCTGTCTGTCAAATAAATAAATAAAATCTTAAAAAAAAAAAAAGTGGAAGGCTTTTGTACGAAGGAGGGTGGGGCAAGAAAGTTGTTAGCAAAAAAAAAGGGCTGTTCCGGGAGGGTTTCTTTCCCTTAGAGGGAGGGAGGAGAGTGTGTGTGTGTGTGTGTGTGTGTGTGTGTGTGTGTGGGCCCACGTGGCCGATTACTTCACTGGCTCGCCTCAGAACATTCCTGACTATGTGTTAAGACCGCCTTTCTCAGGGAAGTTGAAACGGCAGTTAGCTGAGGAATTAAGCCCCGCTCTTGGGACTTGGCTTAAGTGATGCCATTTTGGTTTTCTTTTTAACAAGCTTTTCCTCGGCTCACCTGACTTTTATGAGTTCATTTAACAGACCATTTTTGAAAGCCAGTGTGTGCCAGGCACTATGCCGAGCACAGAGATGATGGTTAGCAAAAGGTGGCTGTCCTATTTTGGTCTGGTAAGCGACTCTGGGCAAACTGACTTCCTTGGGCCTCAATTTCCTCATCTGCCCAATGGGGACAGTAATGCGCTCTTCATCAGGTGGCTGAGAGGATTGGAGACCCAAGGACCCAAAGAGCCCGGAGCAATGCTTGGCATGTAGAAAGTGTCCTGTCAACACAATTTGGCCTTTGAAAAATGCGGGCAGGTCTCCAGAGGGCCCATCCCATGGGCCTATCTCACCCCTCACCAGTTTTCCTGCTAGGTAGGAAAGCTGCAGTCAGCCCTCTGTTCAGACATAGGATGAGTTAAGTGTTAGCACCTGATCATAGTAGTTCTTGTGGGGTTGGAGTTTCTCTCAACTCCAAGGTTCAGGACTCCTGATCCTCACGGTTGTTACAGGGCTATAAGGCAAAGGGAGTCTTCCTCCCTAGAGATCTTTTTCCTCCCCAAAGATTGATTTATTTATTTGAGAGAGAGAGTATTTGAGAGAGAGAGAGCCCACGAGGGCACACAAGCGGGAGGAGGGACAGAGGGAGAGAGAGAATCTCAAGCAAATTCCCGGCTGAACTCGGATCCCGACATGGGGCTCGATCTCATAATCCTGAGATGGCGGCCTGAGCTGAAATCAAGAGTTGGATGCTCAACCGACTGTGTCCCCCTCCAGCCTCCCCCACCCCCACCAGAGATCTTTTCTGAATTGGCTGCAGTTGTTCAGAAAAGGCTGAGCATTGCACTGCCTGGAGGCCCAAAGGGGAAGGGTATGCTGTTAAGAGAGCCAGCCTAGGCTGGGCTTGGGGTTCAGGTCTGGCTCTCCCAGGCCCTGCCCTGGACCACAAGGACAGACAGACAGACACACACACACCTTGACGATCTTACACATGCTCCTTGACCACTGGAGCCCCAGGTGTCACCTCTGGAATAGAAAAGATGATACTGGTCACGTGGAAAGGATTCAAATGAGATGATGGGCAGGAAAACACTTTGTAAACGGTACCATGACACCAATAGAAAGTAACAGTACTATCACTTCTAGGTTTCCACCAGCCCTAGGCTTTTTGCTGAAGTCCCCATCAGCCCCAACTACCGGAACCCAATGCTTCGGCTAGATTTTGCCACCAGTATTAGCTGTGCCATGATTGTTAATATTATGTAAACTTAGCACGTTCTGGCACCTGTGAAACTCACACTGCGTCTCCCTTTCTCCGCTTAGTTCCCGCTGCCTTTGCTGGACTGATGTACCTGTTCGTGAGGCAAAAGTACTTCGTCGGCTACCTGGGGGAGAGAACTCAGAGGTAGGCCACCGGGACTGCTTCAGAACCAGGGTGTGAGTCATGGTTTTTGAGCAAGAAGAGCGACCACTCACAACCATATTCTGCCTAAGATTTAAGGCTCAGGTGGGATCCCTTGGGGCCGGAGGGGGAAGGCTCAGTAGCATCCGTCATCCTTTACCCCCTGAATTTGAGGGCTCTGCAAATGCAGCTGGGGGGCTGGACTAGTGCCTCCGCTAGCCAACTCCTCCACATGGTCTTGGGCTCACAAAGGATGCTTTAACGCCACGCGCCGCACACGCATTCTTGCAACCCCACACCCTCTACGCCCTCCCTTCAGGGTCTGGGCCTTGAATGACTTTCTGTGTCTGGCTTCCCAAGGCCTCTGGGGAGAGAAACATTTTATTGTCTGCCTCAAGAAACGAGAGCTCAAGCTTGCACCTTGTGAGACGTTCTCTTGAGTAACAGATCTTCCAGGGACCAGCAGGAAGAACGTTGCAAAAATAGTCCGCGCTCACAGGCAAAGGATGGAGTCTGTGAATAGCGTCCCCGTTGCATTGCTTATAGACGCTGCCAGACGGAAGGCTCCGGAACAGCACTTACATACTTTGACGACACCCGCCTTGGGAAGTCGGGTTTTCATAAAATAAATGAGGATACTTACAGAAGAGATGTTCGAGTTCTAGTCTGCCATCAGTTCCTTAGAATTCCTAAGGTACCAGCAGGGCTCCGAGAGGCAGGCTGGTTCTTACCAGTTCTGGGAGGCTGCCGCCCCTACAGGGACTCCAGCCTTCCCCTCCATTTCTCTCCCTTGTCTGGTTTCACATCCTTCTCTGTCTCTCACAATAGCACCCTTCTTTCGTGGTTAATGGGCTCTCCGCTCAGATAGCATCCTTCAGCGGTGACAAAGGCTCTGACATCCCGCGAGGTCGGCAGGTGAAAGCACTGTCACCTGGGGACCTTGGGAGCCTGTGAAGTTAAATGGCTGGTTGGGGGGGAGCAGGAAGGGAGGGTGGGTTTGATGGGGAGCTGCCGCCCGGAGGATGGCTCTCCTTCCAGCAATTCTTTCCAGTGCTCATTTCTTCTTCAAGCCTCTCTGGTGGCGTTCGAATTTATCCTCGAAAACCACAATTCCATTATGTCTCTTATCCTTGTCAACACTGTCATAAATGATGTTCTTTATCCTCTTCCACCCTGGAAAACCTCTATTCTGCCTTTTCCGGGGAGATCACCTGTTGTCAGGAGGTGGAGGAGAGGTGGAGTGTCCATCAGTGAAATCAGGGGGGGTTCTGCTCTCTTGGGCTGGCTCCCTGGGCCTCCCTGTCTTCCTCCCCAAAGTCTCAGAGGTCTGGCCGAGGCCCTGTTCTCTTTCTCTGTCATCACTTGCCTGAGATCTTAAAGTTGCTTTAATTCTAAGGCAGTCTGTGGAGCATGACAAAATGTGTTCATTTACCCACGGGCTCTTTTCATTTTCAAGGTAATCACTACTAGGGAACGAACCAAGCTGGCAAAAATAATAAGACAGAGACTTAAAATCTTAGAACGATTTGATTTCCCCGGACCTCATAGAAACGCAAGTGGCCTAACCTCTTAAATGCCGGCCTGGTGTCCCCCGGGAGAGATAGGTGTGATGCCACCAGCCCCCATACCCTGATCTGTGTTTATTAGAGCCTTCTCACCTCTCCTGCATGCGTAGCCTTCGTTAGTCATCCATCATGGCACCCTTTCCTGCAGAGACCAAACATGGCTTCACACTACTTCCGAATACAGGGTCCTGAGCTATTGTCATCAATAGAAATGATAGGTACAAGATGAAATGTCTAATCCTAATCTAGACCAAAATATAGCTTGAGGTGGATGTCAGCCTGAGAGCCTCAGTCACTAGATCCAAGAGGATTTTCAATTCTACCTTCTGGAAACTTTGAGCTGATACCCTTCCACTGTGGATTCCACTACAGATGTCCACCTCTTTCCTTGGGCTGTGTCACACGTGGACTCTGCAGAGGCTTTCACCACCTAATGTCTTCGGGATCTGATTATTTCTAGGCTCGTCAACAGAGAAAGATACTGCTCAGCGGGACCCCGGACCCTTCCAGGAATTTCTCCCTTGGGCTTGCAATCATCTTTCGCTCCTCTGTAGAAGTTGCTTTGGCCCCAACCGCATCAGAAGTTCTAGTGTCCTTTTTGGTCCATTGGGTAGGCATGACATTCCTTGATATATCTCCCCCACCAAAGCTTCTTCCTCTTGGGATTCTGTAGTCCCCTCCTTTGTCCCACCCCACCCTCCCCAGAAGTTTATGGCTCCTAGTCTCAGTCCTACATCCTACTCCCCGACCCTTTCTCCCTGTCTTGATTAGGTAGTTTGTAGCATCTCTAGACGCAGTTAAGGACGAATTTTAGTTTCTTCCTCTTTCATTCTAAGCTACCATCTGGCCTAAGTTCAGTGGCTCTTTGGCATTAAAGACTACTTGCCTTTTATTATCTACCTTCCCTGGCTGGCACTAGGCTGCCCTCTCTTCCTGTCCCTCAGAGGGCAAAGATTGGCAACACTTGAGACCAACGAACTCAGCTTAACCAACTCCACCTTCCCTGATTGCTCACTCAGTCCTCATTCACTCCCCATCCGTGTAGTAAATACTGACCACCTGCACCCAGCGACATACTAAGTCATTTTGTTGAGATGATAATGAACATGACAGAGGCCCGGGGGCTGCTGGAGTCAGGGGCAATACCCAAAAGACTAAACCTATAGAAATAATTAGGGGCACAGTTTTCAAAAGTGCTGCTCTATCGAAATCATTTTCCCCCTTAGTGTCAACATTTTAGAATCCCTGCCCCCCCTTCCTCAAATATGGACCATGGGGTTACTTCACCAATGCTAGACTCCTGGGGTGAGTCTAGGGATATCAAGGCTGCTGTTTCTAAAGTGAAACCCACCAACCAATGACACCAGAATTGCCTGGGATGTTTGTTAAAAGCACAGATTCCTAGGCCCCACTCTGAACTTATGGATCAGAATCTCTGGGGTGGGAGCCCAGGGAATATGCATTTTTAACAACTTCTACACACAATTTGGTAAACACTGAAGGCTGTTCATGCCTCTTTCCTAAGAGTGATTCATTTGACAAAAATGTATGGAGGGCCTGATTTATTGGAGGTATGTGGGTGAACAAAACTGTCAAACTGTAAAACTGTGGGTGAACAAAAAAACTGTAAGGCCCGTGAGAGAAAGATACTGAGGCAATATCTTTCTTACAGTTTTTATTCACTTTAGAAGTTATTAGGTTTAAAGTGGCATCTCTTTATTGAAAAGAACCTAATTGTAAAGCCAGAAGGGACCATAGAGTTTTCTTCTCCTACCCACATCATGTATATATTTTTGTGTGTGAGGCAGGAAAGCTCAGCAACTTGCCCACAGCAGAGAGCTGGGGCTGGAGCTCAGGTGCCTTGATGTCCGGGCTCACCTGTCTCATACCACAGCTCCTTTTCCTGGAAGCTTTAGACACCTTTGAGAGGGAATCGTTTGTCATAAGGCTTCTTTTATGTTTTCATGTAGGTTTCGTGTGTGTGTGTGGTGTGTGTGTGTTGGAAGGGGGGATACATTTGCTTCAAAACTGACCACAAAATCCTAGTCTCCAAAATCTGAAGGAGCCCTCAGGAAAGCAGAAGGAGCAGGACTGTAGCCTCACACAGACAAGTTTGAATTCCCATTTTGCCTCTTCTTGGCTGTGTGACCTTTAGGCACATTGTTCAACCCATCTGCTCTGTTTTCCCACCTGGAAAATAGGTTAGCAACATGGCATGGAGTAGGTCCGAGGTTCAGTGAAGTCGCAGATGGAAATGGCCTGGTCCCTCAGATGCTTAACTTAATGCTGACCTTCCCCACCCCATTTAGGGGGAACTATGTATTACCTTTTACAAACAATAAAAGAGATGCCTTCAGTTTCAAAGTCTGATTAGACAGCAGGTGGCCGGCTCTTCCTTCTGCACTCTCCTGAGCTTCGAGCTTCGCCAGAGCCTGGGGCAGGTCCTTCCGTGCCCACCTCCCAGGGTCACAGCCCGTCTCCAAGCCTGACAGACTGAAAAAGGAAGTCCGTGAATTGCCGGAGCTGGGGACCTCCGTTCACCCTTCCTAGCCCTGCAGGTGACGCGCATGCGCAGAGCTCCTGCCTCCAGCCCCCTTCCCTTGGTCTGGGGATTGCTGAGGTACCACGCAGCGGTCTCTTTGCGGGCGATCTGCCCCGAGGCCTTTGAAAAATGCTGCCCAAAGTCAGGAACACCACAATTTCAGCAGCAGGCACTGCCATTTCATCCTTCACCACAGATTTATCTCGAGCACGTTCTGAAACAGCTTTGCAAATCACTTTCTCTTGTTTCTGTAATGAGCATATGGTGGCCTCATTCATGTGAGAAATCTGAGCCACCACAATATTTGACTTTTCACAATTTAATTTCTCTGAACCCTCTGTTCTCTGGCTAGAAAATATCCCTTACTTAGACTCCTTGACTTCCTTATCAGCATTAGCAGGTAACTGTCTGTATTTGTCTGCTGGGAACACTATGATGGAGTACCACAGACGGGGGGCTTCAGAAAACAGAAATGGATTGTTTCACTGTTCTGGAGATTTGAAATCTGAGATCAGGGTGTTGGCTGCCTCGTTTTCTCCTGAGGCCTCCCTTCTCAGCTCACAGATGGCCATCTTTGCCCCATGTCCCCGCATGGTCTTCCGTCTGTGTGTGTCTGTGTCCAAACCTTCTCTTCCTAAAAGGACACCAATCCTTTTGAGTCAGGGTCCCCCCTTGGTGATCACATTTTACCTTAATTACCTCTTTAAAGACTCTGTCTCTAAATACAATCATGTCCTGAGGTATTGGGTTAGGACTTCAACATATGAATGGGGGGGGGGGGCACAATTCAGCCCATAATGCTCCCTTGAGGAGTCAAATATTCTTCCCAAATAAAGAGACAGAATGTCTCACTTCATGAACATGACTGTAAACAGGAAACCAAGGAAAGAAGAACACAGCTGGCCAAGGAGCAGTGGTAGGGGCAGCTAGCCATGCCGCTCAAGCTTTAATGGCCTGTGAGTCAAGGAGGACTTGTCCAAATGCTGATTCTGGTTCAGTGAATCCAGGGAGGGACATGAGATTCTGCATGTCCAGAAAGCTCCCAGTGGATGCTGCTGGTCTGTGGACCACACTTGGAGTAGCAAGGAAATTAGACAGTCAACTGTGGAATGGTTTTCACACTCCTGGCCCAGGAAAGAGATGAGTTACAGCATGAACCTCTGGGGTCCAATTCCAAAAGATACAATTTCTCACACTGAACCTGCCGAATTGTGCTCTCTCTTGATTATGTCAAAAACCAGGCTCAGCAGCCCCCACTCACCTGTTTAGCTGAGCTGGCTGTTCTTGTTGAGCGGTCTTGATTACCTAAGAGTCCCCTCGCCGGGGTCGTTACTAACATCCTTAATGAGCCATTTGGCTGGACTTCCCGAACATGCGAGTGCTGGCACAGATGGAACCAGCCCCAGCGGTCACAGAGGATGGAGCAGAGGGAGGCCCGGGCAGCCGCTGTGTACAATTAAGCGGTCACATATCACTGGGGAAATGCCTCCTGACCCCAGCTGCTGATTTGCCTAAGCAGTTTAGGATTTAGAGCCTTCGAGAGAAGACTATGAATGCACTAAAACAGCTCTTTCCCCTCCATTCACTTACAATGTAAGAGCCCATCTTCCATCGCTAGGGGCCCCGCTCTCCTTAGCAGGGACATAATGGTATTCCCAAGCAGCCTCAGGAGCCGAGCCTGAACTCTCAGACACCCAAGCACCTTTTAGATTCCTCTAGCCTTATTGGCTCACTGAAACCAGTACCCCTCCCATAGAGGTACTTAGGTCCCTCGTTAGAGCCCACTGCCAGCACGGCTTCCCTGGTACTTCCTGGAGCGGAAAAGCCACAGAAGGGGTCTGACAAGTCAATGGGGTTCCAAATCCTTGGTCAGCATGCCTGATGACCAGTTGACAGAACACTCCACCTTCACACCGTCGGAGAAATCGGGAGAGCACCAAGAAGCTGCCCAGCAGAGCTCTAACCGTGATGGGGTTTGGGGTCTAATCTTTTTAGCTTGGTTTTGAAATACATTCAGTGACGAATAATAGCGGAGACACTCCCATTCTTCCTACGAAGCATATGGAGTAAAAGGAACTCTAATTTAAACCCCATGTATCTCAAAGATGATAACTTTTTTTTTTTTTTTTTTTTGTGAAATTGGTGTCATTTTGCTGCTTCTACAGTTTTCTTTCTCTTCTAGCACGCCAGGCTACATATTTGGGAAACGAATCATACTGTTCCTGTTCCTCATGTCCCTTGCTGGTGTATTCAACTATTACCTCATCCTCTTTTTCGGAAGTGACTTCGAGAACTACATAAAGGCAGTAAGCACCACCATCTCCCCACTGCTTCTCATCCCCTGACTCTTCTCTGAAGGCAGGGTCGGCGCTCTCACTGGATCAATACCGAAAGTCGTCATAACTCAGCCCTTGCAAAGCTGTAGCTCCTCTTCAGACAGCTGTAAATCTAATGGCCATCTGGGCTCCACAGCTTGAGTTAACCGTGTTTTCCCTGGAAGAAAATACCTTTGTGTCCGCCCCGCCCCTTGAGAATGGCAGTGGTCCCGTTATCTCTTATTCTGACCAGTTACTGTATGTTTCTTGACTTAGCCGGCTTTCTGAAGATGTTTTGTGGCCTCACTTGTGTGTTCCTAAAATAAAATGCAGAGGCATGTTTTAGGCTGCTGGGTGAGTCTTTTGTGGGTTTGTTGCTACATGTGAACATTGATCTGCTTTCCTCGCCTTCCATATAATAATAGGAAGAACACTGTTCTTACCCACACACGGGGCTAGAAAGGTAGTCACCAAAATGTCAACTCTGATTATCTTGAGGAGAAGGGATTTGGGGTCAGTTTTACTCTGTGGTTTATATCTTCATGTATTATTTGAAGTTTCTTAATGAGCAACTAAATAGCACTCAAAAAAAAAAAAAAAAACCAGGAGAGATGGGGTACTTGGGTGGCTCAGTGGGTTAAGCCTCTGCCTTCGGCTCAGGTCATGACCTCAGGGTCCTCAGATCGAGCCCCACATTGGGCTTTCTGCTCAGCAGGGAGCCTGCTTTTCCCTCTCTCTGCCTGCCTCTCTGCCTACCTGTGATCTTTCTGTCAAATAAATAAATAAAAATCTTATAAAATTTTTTAAAAAAGATTTTTAAATTTTTATTTATTTGACAGAGAGAGAGTGAGGTCACAAGTAGGCAGAGAGACAGGCTGCGAGAGAGCGGAGGAAGCAGGCTCCCCGAGGAGCAGAGAGCCCGATGCAGGGCTTGATCCCAGGACCCTGAGATCATGACCTGAGCCGAAGGCAGAGGCTTAACCCACTGAGTCACCCAGGTGCCCCAATAAATAAAAATCTTAAAAAAAAAAAAAAAAAAACAGGAGAGACACGGCTGAAGCCTGGCCTTTTCCAGGAAGCCTTTCCTATCTCCAGGTTGGCCTGGTGTTGTGCTCTTGACCTTACAGCACCCTCTGAACATCTCAACCGCAGCAAAGCCATATTACAATATAAAGAAGTTTATTAGCGTCTGTCACCCTTCCCCACTAAATCATTTGTACTTGAATATCTCTGATGTCCTATTTATTTTGCCTTTCCTGTGCCAAGCTTGGAGACTGTCACATAGCAGGCATCCTGTCTCAAGCTATTTTAGAACTCAAACAGACGTCCTGTAAAGTGCTATATTGTAGAGGACAGTGGGGGTGAGTTTTATGGGATTAAGATGTGTTTTCTTTCAATGCTTTAATGGGATAAATTGTGGATAAATGCAAAAAAAAAAAAAAAAGAAATGAAAAAGAAGGAAAGAAAAAGAAAAACAACCCAAAACCAAAAAACAACAACAAAAAAACCCCACGCTTTCCTTCCTATAGACAAACAGATTCTTAAGACTCTTTTGTCAACTTCCTTAAGAATCCTCCATGTGCCGCATGAGGATTAGGTTGGTGTCTCTACGTGCTAGAGTCGTGCCTAGCACCCACCATATCAATTCAGTTTAAAATGTGCCGGAACTCAGTGCCAGAGGCTAGGATAATGTCAGGCCCATTGTGGGGGCCCCAGTTATCAAACAAATGAATAAATGAATGAATGAGTTCAGAAGCCATTGGCTGGCGATATTTAATAAAATATGTGTGTTGAGCCATTTCCCATGTTGGGGATAGATTCATGGTGGTCCAGCCATGGTCACAGATGGTGTCCCTTGACACTGAGTACAATTTAGAGGATAGATGGGTATGATCAAGAGTCCAGGACACATGACAGGAAGAAGCCAGCTCCTACAAGGGGAGTCAGTTCATGAGGACTTAACCTTTTAGTTGAGGTGAGCAGTAATAATAGAGGAGTCCTCTTGATGCCCCCCACCCCCCAAGGCTCAGGATGCTCATAATCTTAGGAAGAAGGAGGCAAATCCAGGGCCAAACCTCCCCAGCTCCCTCTGAGTTGCCTGCTTGGGGAGTGGAGTGAATGGAGACAGGGAATCTGGCCCGTGGGATGTCTAGACCAATGTGATTCATGTGTGATGCTCAGGGCAAGCAGATTGCTCAGTTCTAGGCAAAACCCCCCATGTGAACACGGTTTCCCAGTCCTATCTGGTGTCCAGACTAAAGTCTCATCTGGGCTTTTATGGCCAAACCCCACCCAGCAGAAACTTCTTAGTGCCAGTTGTTTCCGAAGAGTTGCTTCTGTCCTTAGCTCTCTATAGATAGCAGACTCAGATGACATGGTGGGCATTGGAAAGCAAAGGTCACAGTAAAGAGCAGTGTGGAAGTGGCCCCAAGGCCTACCTCAACCTGGCTTGTTTTGGAGGGGAGCAAGGTAAGGTGGTCATCCTAGTTTGTCTGGGGCTGAGGGATTTCCTGGGAGGAGGGGCTCCCAGTTTTTTTTGTTTTTTTTTTTTTTAACAAAGATAGAGAGAGAGAGAGAGAGATCACAAGTAGGCAGAGAGGCAGGTAGAGAGAGGAGGAAGCAGGCTCACTGCTGAGCAGAGAGCCCGATGCGGGGCTGGATCCCAGGACCCTGAGATCATGACCTGAGCCAAAGGCAGAGGCTTAACCCACTGAGCCATCCAGGTGCCCCAGGGGCTCCCAGTTTTAAAACTGGGACAGTTCTGGGCAAACCAAGATGAACTGGTTGCCTGAAGGGGGAGCTAGGCCAGAATATGCTCAGGGGAGCCTGGGGACACCCTAGCTCCCAGAGGCTGCCCTGTCCAAACTGACTGGGTGATGCCCAGAGTGCACAGAGGGCACAGAGGCATTGACAGGCTGGTAGAGCAGGCTTCATTCTTATAAAGAAGAGAATCTCAGGTGCGGAACTCCAGCTCGAGGGGTTCTTCTTCTGGTTGGAGACAGCACTGCCTAGTGATCAAACACTCCATCTTCAGAGTTCTAGGGCTGGGCTCAATCCCTCCTCCATCACCGTTCTGTGATTTCTTCCTAAGCCTCAAGTTTTGTATTTAGTAAGTTGGGATAATAATAGCGCCAAATTGATGGGGTTGTTGTAAAGAAGAGTGAGATAAAGCAATTGAAATTGTTTAGTATGTAATAAATGTTGAATATTATCATCTCATATTGCTATATTTATTATATTTATTATCATTACCTTTTTGGGTTAATTTTCTATTGCTGTGTAAGAAATTCTTACAAACTTTAGTGGCTTAAAACCCCATACGCTTGCCCCTGCACAGGTTCGTTGGGTCAGAGGTCCTCATGCTTGAGCTGGGTCCTCTGCTCAGGGTCTCAGCAGACCATAACTAACATGCCGACCTATATGCAATCTCAGCTGAGGCTCAGAGGTCTTTTCGAGGCTCCCTGGTTGTTCGCAGAACTCCTCTGCAGTTCTAGGACAAAGGACCTCAGCTCCTGGAAGCCCCTTCCTGACACATGGGCTTCTCCACAACATGGCAGTTTACCTCTTTAAGTTTACCTCTTTAAGGCCACCAGCAGAGCAACACTGGTGTCTTTTTCATCTCTGACCTCTAGACCCACTTTCATGGGGTTCTTCTGATTAGGTCGGGCCCACCCAGGTCAGGCTCCCCTTTGATTAACTTAAAGTCAATGGATTTGAGACCATTAGCGACATTGCAAAATCCCTTCACTTTTACCTTATAATGTAATTTAGTGAAATTACAATCCAGGCCCTGCTCACACTCAAGGGGAAGGATTATATAAAGATGTAGGCGTTTTAGGATTCTGACTCCCCAGCTTGTCTTCCAGTCTCAGAAGATCCAAAGGGAGCTGGACGGATAATGAGATTGTGGGTCTTCTGGGCAGAAGCAGGGTGGAGTGTGTGTGTGTGTGTGTGTGTGTGTGTGTGTGTGAATACTTGGGTGAGAATTCTGTGAGGAAGGAGGCTGCGGTCTCCTCCAACATCTTGGAAACAAGGAAGCTTCCTAACCTTTTATATCTCCTGTGGGAAACAGGACAGTGAAAGGGCAGATGAAGCTGAGACAAAAATAAATAAATAAATGAACTTCCCCCTCCTTTCCCATTTTGACCAAAATAGGCTATTTTCATGAAGAGACTCTCCCAGATCGGAAAGAGATAATCTGCAAGTAGTTTGTTTTATTCGCCCTCCACCCATTCTTATCGCTGTCAGTAAATGTCCCACCCATCACTCAGTGGCTCCTGCAGCAAAAGAACATGCTGTCCCTCCACTCCTCCCTGTCTTCCTCCCCAGAGCTGATCCATTACCAAATACCACCAGCTCTACTCAACTCACAGCCCCATCGCTGTCCGTATCTGAGCTGACATGACTCTCCTGGACAGTTTCCATAGCCACCTCCATCGGGGGTTATGTCACATGCCCTTGCTTGAAACCCACCAGGGCATTTTCATTGCTCTAAGGATAAACCCCAAATGCCTTGATGTGGCTTTCCAGGGCCCATGCAGCTGGTGGCTGTGTTCCTCTTGGCACTCTCCCCCTCAGCTCACTCAGCTCCAGCCCTGCTGGCCTTCCAGCTGCTGGCTCTAATGCAGGGCTCTTCCCCCACATGCTCTGGGACTCCCTCCCTCCTGGCATTCAGAGTCTACCAGTGGTCACCTCCTCACAGAGCCCTCCAAGACCAGCACACTGCTTCTACCTAGAAATGCAATCCTTCCTCTCTGCCCCGCCTACTGTCTCCTAGCCTTGCTTTACTTTGTCTTCTCCATCACCTGCAATTAGACCTCTTATTTAGTCCTCTACTTGTTTACTGTCTGTCTCCTGCGCTAGGGCTAGAAGCTTCCAAAGGGCAGGGATTTGGCCTGCGTTTCTTATCATTCTAGCCCTATGGCATAGAACAGCACTAGGCAGATAATAAGTGTTCCACATACACACCGAATGAGTCAATAGAAGACTAGAATGAGTTGTGCGCTTCTGTCTACTGTGTGGGGGGAGGTCGTGGTGGTGTTGGCTCAGGGCCTATGAGCAAATTTGGGACAGGGAGCCTCATGGATGATCTTACATTGGAGTAAGCAAAACTCCAGCTCTGGAACCCGTCAATGCTACCCCCAGAGACCTGACATGGTAGGTTAGGGATGGGGCCTAGGAATTCACATTCTGATGAAGATTCTCTGGATTTTCCTGATGCAGATGGTTGTAGACCACTCCTTCAGTAGCTTTTTATTTTATAGCCGCATCACCCAATATGGTGGCTCCCAGGTCTTGAAAGGTGGCTACTCTAAATTGAGATGTGCCATAAACATACAATGCACACCAC